ACTCACTCTGTTCTCAGCAGTGGCAGCTGGTGCTTTAGGACTCGCCCCCCTTTCCGCCCCCCAGAACTGCCGGCCGGCTGGGCCCCCACCCGCCCATCCTTGACCCCACCCGGCCTGCCCCTGCCTAGAATGGCGTTGTCATGGTGATGGCTGCCTGGGTGGGGGGGCTCTGACTTTGCATCTCCAGCCCCTTCCCCCTTCAGCTCCCCTTTTCCAAATCTCCCTGTTCCCATGGCAACAGATTCTCCAAATATCTGTCCCCACCTGGAGCCGGCCGAGGGAGGGGCCCCCAGCACCACCTCCGCGGTGGCCCTGCCATCAGAACTCCCTCCCCACCACAGGCTGTGTCTCTGCCACACCCCCCGCCCCGGGCTCCCCCGCGCCTCTCTGGGGACCAGAGAACACGTGTGTCAGCAGCCTCAGCTGAGAAACCCCAGCCTCCACCCTCGGGGGTCCCAGCAGTCCAGGTCCCGGCTCTTACCTTGGCACTGCAGGCCCTGTTTTCCAATTCCCCTGGAAGAGCAAGGACCTGAGGTCAGCGCAGGGAAGGGTGGACCCTCCCACCTCTGAGAGCCATTGGCAGTCTGAGGTCTTGGCCTCCGACCTGCAGTTCTGGGCCCAGGTAGCTAAGCCCCAGCCGCCTCCCCTTCTAGAAGCCAGAAATTCTGGTCCAGCCCCTCCTCCTTCAGACCCAGGATTCCAGCCCCCGCCCCTCCTCGCTCAGACCCAGGGGTCCGGACCCTAGGTTCCCACCCTCCTGGAACCCAGGAGTCGGGGCTGCAGCCCCTCTGTGCTCCTCCCTCGGAGGTCTGTGTGACACAAGTCTGCACCTCCAGTCCCCTCCTCTCGGCCCCCAGCCCCTTCCCTCACCAGATGAAGTCGGTACAGTGGCTGCAGAAGGTTGGCTGCTTGAAGAAGCGAGCGGTGAACTTGTGGCTCTTGACTTCGTGGACAACCTTCTGCCTCAGGGCCCCCTTTCTGCAAAACAGGGGTCGGGGTCCCCCCTCTGAATCGCCTCCGCCGGGGCCCAGACCCGCCATGGCCCCAGGAATGCAGCAGCGACCAGGACCCTGCC